CCCGTAGCGTAAACAAGTAGTGATCACCTAGTGTACAAGTATAGTACTATACTACAGTTGTAGTAGACAAGTAAACACGGACCACACACAAGCAGAGAAAGGAAGCTGCATGTGCGTGCATGTGTGTGTGTGTGTGTGTGTGTGTGTGCATGTGCGTGCATTTGTGTGTGGTTGGGTGTGTATGTGCATTTGTGTGTGCGTGTGTGAGAGGTTAAGTGTGTTTGTGTGTGTGTGGGGGGGGGGTTACGTGTGTGCGCTTGTGTGTGCATTCATGTGTGCGTGTGTGAGTGTGTGCATGCGTATCTTTGTATGGTTTTGTACAGGCGTAGTATCGCTGGTCACACGCATGTCACCAAATACAACTGCCCGTTCAATACAAAACATCTGCAGAGATTTAATTTTGCTCGTAATAATGTGCATTTTAGGAGAAGGAATCACCAGATGGTAACAACGTTGCCTGCATCCTCACACTCCCTCCATTCCAGCGCAAGGGATATGGAAAATTCCTCATTGCATTCAGTGAGTACCCATCAGTAATTGCACCATTACATATATTTGTGTGCACATGCATTTTGCCAGATGCATACCATTGTGTTATTCATAATTTGCTGCCTTCACCCTACCTGGAGTTGTCAGGAAAATCTTTCAAGAGATGTGTAAAACCAGAAAGAGTTGCCTTTTTTACGATTTTCCTGCTAACTCCATCTGGTGCATGGGTATCAGTCTATGAATAACACAAGAACATGCAAGCGGTACCATGCAGACAGCCTCTGAATTTCAATATGGCAGAGACAGCAATAACTGCGGTTACCCTTATTACTAGCCGTGAGTGCTGCCCCTACGAATTTGACGATATCCAATGGCAATGATCCTCGGTAGCTGATCTAGGTGGTGTGTCTCCCTGCCTGGACTTCCTTGTGAAGTCACTGTTGTATATATATACTCTTCTTTATCACGTAAAATGTGTTGTAGAAATGTAAGTGTCGTGGATATCGCTTCCCTGGTGATCCATCGTGCCGTCCTTGCAGTCGTGTCATAAGCTGAGATCGTCGGTGTTTCTTGCAGGTTATGAGCTCTCGAAACTAGAGAGCACTGTCGGCTCTCCTGAGAAACCACTGTCGGACCTCGGCAAACTCAGCTACCGCAGCTACTGGTCCTACGTACTGCTGGACATCCTTCGCAACTTCAAGGGAAACGCTCTGTCAATACGTGACCTCAGGTGAGGTGCTATCCTGTGTCAGCAAACACCTCTGTAAAACAGCCACCTTGCCCATAAAGGACACTTTGTATTTCCCTCGAGTGGCAATTATTATACAGTGAAACCATTTACTATATATGTAAAAGAAATCTGTCCAGAAAGGGCACTTGGTATTTCCCTCAAGTGGAAGTGATACAGTGAGACCACTTCTGTAGCATGAACAGTTGTCCATGTGGGACACTTGAGTGTCAATTATAAAGCGAAACCCCCTCTATCGAACTAACACATGTCCACAAAGTGAACCTAATATGCAGGTTTGACTGTAATTAACGAAAATATAACATTAATAAAATATAATTAGTGCCTTGAAAGCATGCTTCCCTTGCATCTCGCTCCCTGAACATAACGTGCCATTGGGTAAAACATTTAAAACCACATGATAAGAAATAATTGAGTACAATTTCTAGTTATAGCGTAGTGATGTCCCGATGATCGATTATAATCGAAAGTCAGTCTTTTGCAGCAACCGACTAAGCGCTCTATTATGAAAATAAATAATCAATTATAAAAAAAAAAATTATTGACAATTTTTTTTTCATAAAATTGGCAAACATTGATGAAATGACTCTTTATTTTATTTTTGTGTTTTTTTGGTTACTTTACAGCTTGGAGACAGTAAATTTAACCTACACCAAACATAAGCAAGCATAATACTGTTATATGGCTTTTATGATATTTTAATATAAAAAATACTGTATTATATCAGGGGTCGAATTAGCCGCTAGCCCGCTAGCCCGGGACTAGTAATTGTTTGGAAGGGCTAGTTAAAGGCCAGGCTGGCTTGCCCGTCGGGCAAGTAAACAATTCCAGACCAGATTTCGTAATTCCGCCCGTTTTAGGATATATCAGTGTATGATTAATGGGAATTTAATTGCGGTTTGTGAGCATTCAAATTCAGTCCACAATACCCTCAGAAAGCATCTTGGAGCATTCGTGAGATCAATCATTTTCCCGCGCAACCACTAGGGGGGAGCCTATTGACATCATACTTTTAAGGGCTAGTTGAAAACCAGAAGGGCTAGTACAAACCTTACCTTACTAGCCCTTCGGGCTAGCTTGCATATTGTCCTTATTTCTACCCCTGTTATATGATATATGCTATATTTCAATATCTGGTAGCCGCGATCAATAACATTCCTAACGTCGCGTCTGCGTCGATGTTTCAGCCACATGACGAGCATCACGCAGCAGGACATAATGGAGACGCTGCAGTCGATGAACATGGTCAAGTACTGGAAGGGCAACCACGTGATCTGCGTGACGGCGAAGCTCGTCGAGGAGCATCTGAAGAGCGCGCAGTACAAGCGGCCGCCGCTGTCCGTCGACCCGGAGTCGCTGCGCTGGTGTCCGCCGAAGAAAGGCAAGATGGTGAAGCGGTGAGCGGCGGGAAGAGGGAGAGAGAGACAGAGAGAGAAAAAGAGAGAGAAGAGAGAGAGAAGAGAGAGAGAAAAGAGAGAGAGAGAACGAGAAGAGAGAGAGACGAGAGAGAGAGAGAACGAGAGAGAGAGAGAACGAGAGAGAGAGAGAGAACGAGAGAGAGAGGAACACGAGAGAGAGAGAGAACGAGAGAGAGAGAGACGAGAGAACGAGAGAAGAGAGAACGAAGAGGAGAGAGAACGAGAGAGAGAGAGAACGAAGAGAGAGAGCGAACGAGAGAGAGAGAGACGAGAGAGAGAGAGAAGCGAGAGAGAGAGAAGAAGCGAGAGAGGAGGAGACACGAGAGAGAGAGAGAACGAGAGAGAGAGAGAGACGAGAGAGAGAGAGAACGAGAGAGAGAGAGAGAGAGAGGAGAGAGAGAGAGAGAGAGAGAGAGAGAGGAGAGAGAGAGAGAGAGAGAGAAAGAGAGAGAGAGAGAGAGAGAGAAGAGAGAGAGAGAGAGAGAGAGAGAAAGAACGAGAGAGAGGAGAGAGAGAGAGAGAGAGAAAGAGGAGAGAGAGAGAAGAGCGCGAGAGAGAGAGAGGAGAGATAGAGACAGAGAGAGAGAGCGCGAAATAGAGAAAGGAGAGAGAGAGGACAGAGGGGGAGTATGAGGTTAACTGCAAACTTTATCAAAACTATCAAACACGACGTCCATCGAAAACAAAAATATTAGCCTGTTTATCACAGGGAAATTATTTCTCCAAGTATGAATCAAGTATGGGAAGAGTGAGAGAAGAGAGAGAGAAGAGAGAGAGAAAGAGAGTCAAAGAGATAGAGAAAAAGAAAGGCAGAAAGAGAACATAACTATACATTACCTGCCATTTTTCTATACGTTGCCATTCAAAGACATATACATGGACTGTACTATACTATCGTAACTATGGAAGGCACATAACATTAGCTTCTGCTAATTTCTGATAAATCTGCCGTCAGTACGTCATGTATTGGTATTTGAATTACATGCAATAAAGATTTAATAAATAATAATAATTGTTTGCATTTTTCTCAATTTTTTGTGGTAATACTAAATATACTAATATTCGGCACTAGAGTACATTAATATCAGTGCTCGACACAGCCGGTCGCCCGGTCGCGGCAATGGCGACCAAACCTCTGCTGGGCGACTAAAAAATACCCAAAACAAATATATATACATAGCCCAAAATAAAATTTTGGGCGAGTACAATTTCTGTTCGGCGTTACACCAGCGCAAACAAGTGCTCAGAGTTCGATTTATCGCAACACTCGGCGGACACGGCTTTCCTAGTAATATAGTTCGCTTTACAATACAGGACCACGGCGTTTTAGTATCATCTGTTGAGATTGTCAGACGTACGCCGTACGTGTGTGGCCGCGCGTGCTACGCAGGCCGGATCCCTATAGTACGCGATCGATCGAAAACCGCCGCCGCGTCAAAAGCGCCGCGATCAAAGCCGCCGCATACCGCGGATAGGAACCAAACTGACGCCTCTCTTGTATTTAAACCATATGGCTCGTATAGCTCTGTCTACATGAGTGCTGGGGGATGTGATTGTGTCCACATTTTCGTTTGTATGATTACGTTCAACACTCATGAAAGCAGCGACACGTACACGTGCGTGCGTGCGTACGTACACGTGCGTGTGTACGTACACGTGCGTGCGTGCGTGCGTACACGGGCGTGCGTGCGTGCGGCGTGCGTGCGTGTGCACGTACACGTGCGGTGTTACGTGTGCACGTACACGTGCCGTGCATGCAGTGCGTGCGTCGATGTGCACGTGTGCGTGCGGTGCGTGTGCACGTACACGTGCGTGCTGCGTGACCGTACACGTGCGTGTGCGGTGCGTGT